GTCTATATATTTACATGTACACCAACTCAGTTTTGAACACAACTAAAGGAATCATGCCCTTCTCTAAGGTCACCTCTTCAGGAATAGTCCCGAATTATCCTCCAGTTCATATGCATGATTGCCTTACAGCCTTGTACGTTTTAGGTGTACTGAATGCTCTGAGTACTTCTCTTCTACCCTTGTACAGATGACTTGTCTCTTAGGCAGGTGTCAGTTTAGGAAAATATAACTGTTTTCAAAGCCCACATATGGAATCAGATAAGGAGAAGATGGTTCCTGGGAGAAATTAGAAAATTAAATCTTTCTAATGATTTCTTAAGAAAGACAACTAAAAGGTATTCGTTCTCTAGTAAATAACAAGAATTTCTATAAATACCACAGATCATCTCTCAATTACATGGCCATGAGGAAAACAAGGAAAAGAGAAAATTTAGAAAAAAGCCCAACACACGTGAAAACATTGATGGGCCCCCATGCAGATGTTTGCTTCAGTCCATTACATTACAGTCCTTTTTCTCTGATGTACAAACAACATTTTCCACATTTTGACAGTAGTTACTCATGTTACACAAAAGCCATTATATTCTTGAAAAGGTCAGAGTGATTTACTGACCAACAGAGTAAGAGGGTGTAAAGAGAGTGTAAGCTTTCCTTTGAAAACCTGTAAAGCTAAAAACTATAATGAAAAGTATCTAAGTCTACCGAACTATCATCAATAAATTCCAGTCACAGTCGGCAAACAAATGGGAAGTATTTTGTAATGCAAATAATTTAGCTGTTAAGCAAACCACAGATTAATATAACACAATAGTACTAAAGCTTCATTTACCTCTTTTGAAAGGAATATTGTACGACAAGCAGTTCTGCAGATCAAACACTCATCTTTTTTGCCTGTAAGGTAAAGACACAGTTAAAATGTACATCAATCAGAATAGCTATTGAATACATTTTTAATAGAATATGATGCCTAGAATTTGAAACCTTTGTTTGGAGCTTACTGAAGGAATATGAAGGTGATATAAGAAATGCAAATAAACATGAATAAAGAATTTGATTCTACAACAACTAGTGCACAGTTGCACAGGAAAAATGTGTGTGAATGTCATCTGGTCTTAATCCTGCAAATAAGTATTCATGTAAATGATTTAATGAATATCATTAGTGTCACTGAGTGCAGGTGACTCTTAGTTCCTTTGATTTAAATAGGACTACTTGCCTGGTTTAATTAAATGCATGCTTAAGAGCACTAATGAGTTAGAGCCAACCAGATATATGACTTTTTAGTTTGGGACTGTCTTGCTCTCTCGACAAAATATATGAAACTTTAACTTCAAAGAATTAATAATCTTACCTTGTGATTTTTTCCAGTGAAAAATTAATCACCTCACTTTTTAAAACTTCATCATTTTTAAAATCTCTTTGATTATTTGCAAATATATTAGCAACTATGTCTCGTAAATGCATATGGCTGAAATAAATCTGATAATTTTATTATATGCTCTCTTTCTAAGAGTTTTAAAGATCAATGTTCATAAACATCTTTAAAGAGGAAATATATTTCATTATCATTATTATTGAGTTTACAGAAAAAAATAGTTTCTTGGGGACTTTTTTTGCTAAAGGATATTAACAACCAAAAGGAAAACAGTGGTTCATGCTCTAGTAGTCTACAGATTGCATTTAGAGGTGGCTTTTTATGATCCTCTTTCGTCTATAGCAGAAGTGCAAAACCTTTTAGTCAAAAGATTTGTTTTTAATTCTGAAATAACAGAGGTATCACTTTTTCAGTGTGCAGTTACCAAAAGCAGGGCATTTAACATGATCTCAAAGGGAAAAGCATGAATGCTTGCCTGCTATTTTTTTTTTCTTTTGAAAAGGAACTGCTGTATTCCCCTATGTTTTTTCCACATATTTGCATGTAAGAAAATCACAGAAGTCCCGGAATATGGCTCAGGTATTGCATAAAACACATAAAAGCATCAAAACATCGCATAAAATCCTTCTAACACCAGATTTTCTCTGGTGTTTCAGTAGCAATACTGATATTTAAAATGTCTTCAGACTAGTAGCAAAATCTGTCCTCAAAATATAAATCCTATGTTTTGCAAATTGCTCGTTCACTTTTTTTATTTTGTTTTTACAATGCAGATGTCAATCATAAGCATCAGGACTCAACTTTTATAAAGCTTCCAGTTTTCAGCATCCAAGGTTTGTTCTCAAGATCAGGCTGCTCCAGCCATATTCATCTGGAAGCATTCACAGGTTGCTCATACTACTTAAAAGAAGAACAATTGAAAAGGTTTATCCATAACATTAGGTCAACAAAACGAAAGGCCTTTCTTTTTTTCCATAGTGAGTTGGAAGTGCTAATGGCCAAGGCGTGCCAGCGCTGCCTGAGGAGCCGAAGCAGGGCGCCCCGCCTGTGGCAGCCATTACCTTTCTGGAAGCAGAGCTCACAGATAACATGGCCGCAGCTGGTGAAGAGGAACCTTGGGGTGGCCTTGCGGGGCTCGCAGAAGCAGGCGTTGCAAAAGACTCGGACGGCCATGCAGCAGAGGGGCAGGAGGGGCTGGTCGGGAGCGGGTGGCTGAAGCAGACGCTGTCCCTTCTTGTCGCCCTGGGTCGAGGCCTATGGGCCTGCCTCTGCCGCGTCCCTTCCGGCTTGAGGCGCCGCAGGGCCCTGAGGTGAGGGGTGGCAGCACCCCTTCCACACCCAGCGTGGGACCTGGAGGAGGCACGATTTGACCCTCACTCCAAAAAAAAAAACACCAGGATTTTTGTGACCTTTTGCTACCAAACTGGAGAGGGTGCCCGTGCAGGGGATCCACTCTGTGAGGTTTCCTTCTCTTCCCCACACAGGTGCCCAAACTGCGCCAAGCACCAGGGCTGCTGGTGGCGCTTCGCCATGAGGCGGTTGTGTAACAGGCACTGCCGCTGGGACATGTGGAAAACAGTGATGTTTCTTTCCTCTTTTCTTCTTTTTTCCCTCTTTTCCTGATTTGGAAAAGTTATTAATGTAACGGAGGTTTGCTGTTGCTTCTTTTGGTGGAGAACAGAGGGCAAATAGAAGCATTTGGATTTTCATTTTTTTCAGATAACAAGGATTGCAAATTTCCCTTGAAAATTTAAGGGAAAATTCCCCTACTGACCTACTTAAGATAGCTCTTAGCATGACAGAGCTGCAGACTGCATTGGAGGAGCCTCTGATTTTAAACTTGAAGAAGACTACTGCCCCCAAAATGCTTCCCAAAAGAGCTCTGTTTCAACTTTTATGTTTGTATTGGGTCTAATTGTATTGGGTAGATCTAATTAAAAAATCTCGAAGGAGACCGAAAACATTTCACCAAATCAGAGATATTTAATAATAACAATTCTAGATAAAGAATAAAGCACTATCAAGGTATATTCAAGGCTCAACGTTGCAGTGCTGGTTTGAGTTTATACCTAATTAATTCTGAGGTATAATCAGCTCCTTTATAATTTCTGACATGGTGCTTGCCCATGGTTTAAAATCTTAAGTGCATCTTAAGTGAGATGATTTAAGTTTATAATTGGGATATAGTTAGGAACCTTATACTAGGTATCAGCTAGGTTGGACCAAAATGTCATAGCAATAATAGCAAACTTTCTTCTCGGACTTAGCGTACCATATGGTTTAACTTGTCTTTCCTTCTTTCCCACCACTAAAGATTTTATTACAATATATATTTTAAGAGAGTGTTCTATAAAAATGAATTTAATAACACTTATTTAGTGGTCATTTCAACTCACTGTCATTTCTCAAGTCTGAGAATTTTAAATATAAGACACACCCCAGTGAATAGCTTTACAAGATTTTCTTTTGATTGATTTGGTCCATGGAGTATTGCTTTTTGTCTCTACTTTTGTCAACTGTAGGGATTCTCACATACTCACAACTGTATTCACATTTCCGTACTGTAAAAATAAATGTAGTTAAAGGACAATGTCATTTCATTGCTAATGAAAACAAAAGGTGAGGAAAAAAAAAAAAAAAAAGGCATTTCCTTTAAAACAATAATTTCTCCAGACATATTTCAGTTTGCACTATCTTTTAGACCAGCGAAGGGTCTGGAAAGACAAATAGGAAGACAAAATGCAGTAAAGGGCAATCACAGTGCTCTCTGGAAGACCTTTTTCAAGAATTTCTGTTTATGTGTTAACCAAGTTGTTAGATGGATCATTTTATAATAACCTTCACCTCATTCTTGCACTGCTGCTGCTTTGTCACGCTAATTATCTGAATTTTTAAACGCTTTTTTTTTTACTTGTAACTGCATGACGCTGTAGCTCCTTAGCTAGTTGTACATAAACTAGCTAAATTAAGACATAAAAATATATTCAACCAAGCTGCAATGTGACACGGAAATACATAATTAAGACAAAAACTGCTAAGTTCCTGAGACAGTCATGTTACAGTTACTGAATAATTAAAATAAAAATAATTCTCCAACATAGAATGAGACTGCAGAATTTAGTATATGTACAACTTAAACATAGTATACAGGAACAAATTCAGTGTTTACCATGAAAGCTCTAATTTGGTCTGTGTTGGCATTCTTCATAAAGATTATAATTTATATAAACAACTGCAAAAGGTCAGATCCCAACTCTATAGCTTAATGTTTAGGGCTTATCTGGGAACAAAGAGTAACTAAAATTCCAAATTGTTTGTCTGGGTCTCCGTCTCTTCCATGGTAATTGTTGCATCTTCTGATCATAACAGTAAATATAGGCTCCACTGTCATGTAAAACTTTGAATATTTTAAAAGAAAATAGTCACAATTATATTAGAAGAAAACTTAGTGTGCATACAGTGCAATATGCAACTCTCACCAAATTAAGTGCCACAGGGGATATAGTTTTTTCTCTATCTGAATTTTTTTTCTCTATCTGAAATTTTTTTACTATCTGAATCCCACTCAGGCTGAAACACTGACCTGTTCAAGCTAGTACAGAAAAAGATTACAAAGCAAGTAGAAAACTTTAAAACATTAGGATTTTATTTTAAAGATTTCTATTTTAAATTTAACAATCCTGAGTTAAAGTTAATTGCTGCCTTAGTCATTGAGTCTTCTAGATTTAGCTTTACATCTACAGAGAAAAAGAAACTAATAAAAGATGGAATTCAACGATTAAAATTTAAGGAGAGGCCAGAGACTGAAACCAGAGTTAGAGTGACAAATAGAGTAGAAAATGAGAGAAGCTTGAGAGTTTTATACAACATATTTTCTCATAGGTACAGGGTTTCTTTGAATTTTATATATTAGATAATGAGGAAATTTCCAATCTGTGCATTTACTTCATAAGACTTAAACAAGCTTCTTAGCTATAAAGAAATCTTTGAGAGATTTGATTTGCCAGATTCCAATGGAGATAAGGATAAATGTTTGTGCCACAGCCCACCACAAAATATTGCTGTTGGTCTGTTCACTTATATTCCGAAATTTTTCTTCACGTTCCTGAAGAAAAAAAAAAATAATAAAAAAAAAAGATAAAGAAAAAGCATATTTAGTACTTACCAGCATCTGCATGTTTCGTGCTGCTATCGTGTTAACTAGACATGCATCCCTCTTCTGCATGGTAGTAAGCAAGCACTTTTCTCATATTGATAAAAATGAAAGTTTGTTCTTCCATAAGGAGGAATTTACAAACCAAAACAGAGAAGCAGACAAATTGCTGTCCGGAAGCAGAAATGCAAGCAAGTTTCCCTTGTTGCCAAATATATATATATATTGGCAACAAATATATATATATTAAATATATCCCACTAGTACATGCTTAAGACTTTTCAGGCTTACAGTCACTTGCACATTGCAGTCAAGAACCTTTTGGCAGCCAAATGTCATTTTCTAGGGAACTAGCAGATAGATTTCAAACACAGTCTGAGTGCCTGTGTATGTGTAAAAAAGTGAAGACAATGGGTTTACTCTTGTTTGAAGGAGGGCTTTATTTCTAAGTGCATGAGGATATATAAATACACACTCAGTCATTTCCTTATGCACTCCAGTAAAATTTGTGCACACAGACCAGCATGGAAACAACAACTGGCAACATCACCAGCAATGGTACCTGCCACCTGCTCCACTGCTGTTATTGGCTCTGGCCAAGAAAACTATATTTGGAAATTCCAGCTTTAAAATAACACCTGTTGCTATAACCATGAGTTCATGGTAATTACTTTTTATGTTGTTTCCTTTTACAGCTTAAAAATATTTTGTAAGGTAACGTGGGCTGTTTTGGTTAAATACTAATAGCTTTTTATTAGTTAGTTAAAAATAATACTGCAATTAAATAATAAACCTCAGATTACTTTATAAATCAATAAGCCTCTGTACTTTTTTTTTTTCTATTAGGGAACATACATACTCTTTCATAGTTTTGTTCTTTGGAAACGTGTTGAATTTGCTCCATTAGATGTTCTAGTCTAAAGTTAACTTCATTCACTTTGTCTTTGGCTTGAATAACTGTTTCATCCAGAAAATGTTCTCCAACTCTAATGTCCAAATGGATACGCTGAGAACAGAAAAAATATTCTTATTACTGTGTCTTCTGTTTCCAAAATTCCTTACAAAAAAAAAAAAAAAAAAAAAAAAAAAAATCAGATCATTTCCCTTAAGCTCATTACAGAAAAAGAGCTTTAAATGCTTTTGTAAATCATTCCTAAAGTTAGAACCAGATAGAATATTTGAAGTGTTTCTTAATTTCATTTTAAAATTAATTATACAAATTTAAAAACTTCACTAACTTTAAGGCATTGTTTTATACTAGTGTTTTTTTAACTACCGTGAAAATGTTTTACTGTTCTCTGCCCAAATTGGTTATAAAAAAAGAGCACTATTAGAACTGCTTGTTATATTTCACATTCCATCCTAACATTGCAGAAATAACATTCTTCAATGAAGAATGCAGGAAGCTGCAGGAACCTTTTAATAGATGTGCTTGTAGGTATTCCACTTACAGTTAGGAATAGAAAACGAAGGAGACCAGCCAAATTATTATTTGCAGTTTATCATTGGTGTTAAAGCAGAACAGTCCATAAAGTATCTTCTTTGTTTCTCCACACATGGTATATCAGGTATGAAATAGTTCCCAATATCCTATAAGCAACTGATATTGCTATAGCAGAAGTGACCCAAACCCTCCAGGTGACAGTCCCATAGAAATAAAAGAGGTGAATACAACCTGCAGCATCATGAAACTTAGGCATAAATTGAAAATTTTGCAAAAACTAAAAGGAGAAAGTTACCCCAGAAGCCAATTTGTACCTAAGAGAAAATAAATTGTAGTCTAGCAGATAATCTACAGAAATCATAGATTTTGATACTACACAATAGAAGTTTGGTGTATTCAGATGTCAACCACAAATGGCAACCACATCTCCTTTCAGGTCTCTTAGAGTTAGCTAACTGAACATCCAGAAATCCCTCTCACAACGTTATAGGAGCCTGTGAGTAAAGTTTGGTTTGAAACAGTTCAGATAACCACCTGGTTCTTATAGAAGGCTACATCAAGACTACTTCAGTTAGCTAAAGAATGTTTTTCCTTTTCTAATGTTAAATCCTGCAGTATAGATATAAAGAATAATATTTTCCTTTTTTATTTTTATATTCTTAAGACAAACTCTTTTTAATGTTCATGCTATTAATCTTCTCCTTCCCTGCACCTGTTCACTTTTTAAAGAGGAAGGCCAGAACTGTATACGGTGCATGTATCATATAAAATGATATTAGTTCATCTCCATTTATACCAGATCAAAATCTCCTCCTGTATCCCCAGAATCATACTGATGGTCCGTAGTTAACTCTGAGCAACCAATACTTTACCTCCCTTATCCTGTCTAGTTGATGAGCTCCACACTTTATTATTATTATTATTATTATTATTATTATTATTATTATTACTGGATGCTAAGTGATTTTGCAAAGTATATGATTAAATTTCCACTTATTTCCATTAAAAAGTTAATAATAACACCTAATTATTCCAGTGTAACTCTTCTTCTTCAGTAATGTTAACATCTCTTGGTTCTGTGTCATCTACATGTTTCTAAAGCAAACATCTAGGATAAAATTTGTCCTGTCTAGCTTAACACATTTACACATTTACAAAATGTTTATATTATCTAACAGTTTTTTGCAACCAACAGTTAAAAAAAAAACAACGCTAAAGAGCTGTCAAACTACCTTTTGAGAATAGGTATATAGATAAATTTTTCAACAGTGTTTATGAAATGGCTTGCCAAAATAGATTAGAGTCACGATAATGATGATAACTCCGATCAGATCAGATTTAACTACTAGAGAACTCTGATCAAATAACTCTGATGCCCCTCTTTTCAAAATCTGCATGAAGAAAATTTTTATTGGTTGTAGACAATATTGAGAATGGTAATATGTTCTTAATATGAATATCTTGCAAACATTTGTATGCTAAATTTTCTGAAAGACCTAGATCTAAGGTATTGAAGCCATGCAATACTATTACGATGTCACTGTTTTGTGACAGCATTTGTGGTAGTCAGTCTCACATACCTATCTTTCTGAACCAAACAGATGTTCTTATTGATCAGAACTATTTCACACTCTAAGCACCATGCAAACATTAAATCAATCTGTAGTTAAGTCTTGCCTCTTGAATCTTAACTTGTTACATAGCAGAACAGTCTTTTTATCTCTTCATCTTCATAAGTTTATATTTATCATCTTTAATCACTAGGAAATGTTGCATTTTCTGCTAGAAGTTAAATTTCTAATATATTTTGTAAACTCTGTAGTGTTTATACAATTAATACTATTACAACAAAGAATATTTAAGAAATACACCTACCAGTTTACTTCCTGCAAATGCCACAAGTCTCGTGGAGTTAGACTGTAAACAGATAATATGCTCCCCAGATAGATAGGATGTAAAAGAAAATGTTGCTTTTGGCCCATACAGTTTTGACAATATTACCTGCAATTTAGATGTGTTATATGTTGGATATATACATTAAAGATATTGATAAAATAATCAAATGCAGTACTGTGAATTGGATGTAAACAGTAATAAATTAACCTCCTGAAAACATTAAATTTTTCTGAATTTCAGAAGAGATTTAGAGAATGACAAACAATTTTATCTCACAGTAAACATTGAAATGCTGTGAATTTCTGCAAAGTACAAAATCCAATGGCCTCTAAAGCATTAAAAGTTTGAAAGCTAAGACCTTGTCTAGGCACAGAATAAGTTGGTCTTTGTTGAAAAAGCTCAGGACCTCATGCTGCAGTTGCTATGCCTGCCTAATGGCTGCATGCAGCCTCACAGTATCTAGTCTTTTGCATTTTGTTTTATCATTAGCCTTCCTTTCTGCTGCTCAAATACTTTCTGAACCATTTTGCTTTATTAGCGAATTTTCATTGTTTTTAAATATAATATGTTTTCTCAGTTGTGGCTTACTAGTCTTAATGGCATAGTTTCCCAATTCCAGTAATAATGCAAACATTGTTCACACAAATAATTATCAAACATTCCATTTCTATTTATTTTCAAGCATGCCATTTCTATTTATTTTGATATCAACCACAAGGTGCTTATACATTTCAACAAGAAAATACTGAATTAGCAGATTAGTAGATTGATTGCAGTTTCATTTTCTCCCCAAAAGCATCAATATATTTAGAGTTTAGACTGCCAGTGTTGAAAGTCAATACATAAATTGTACAGAAATATTCATAAAGAGTATTTACCTCATCAGAAGGAGTTCTAACAGTCACAAACATCCCCAAACCAGGAGCAGATTCAAGAAAAACTTGTTTATGTATATCCCATCTCTGTACTTTGTAATTCCCTGAATAAAAACATAGATAAAAATCTGATAAATAAAACATAGTTTAATATTAAAGGTCCTTATTTTTTTCTTTCCACAAAAATATAAATGTTTTAAAATAAAACAATATATGTATTTCATTATGTATAATTTAAATTACTCAGAAGGCATTTTATAACAGTGTGAAATGCAATGAATTTTTACTACACTAGAATACTACAAAAATGATTGATTAACAAGTAATACTTTTTGATTACTCCTAATGTTCTTGCAAGATAAGCATCCAGAGGGCATGCTGAGACCACCAAAAGAGTAAGTGTTCAAATTAAGAGTAAGTGTTCAAATTAAGTAAGGGTAAGTATTCAAATTACATTTTTTGGATTCTTTCATATTTATCACATTACTAGTAAAAAAGATGATTATATATTATATATATTTATGATATCCCTGATGGGATGGAACTTTAGTACATCTTGAATTGCTTCTTTCCAGATCACTGTTAATCAAAATATTGTGGTATGAATGAGTCATAATATATAGAAGCACATGTTGAAACAGCAATCCCACTGCTGTAGAATTAGAAGACAATATTTTTCTTTGTTCAGAGAGTTAAGCACTCTGGAAACTTTTTTTTTTTTTTTTTTTTTTTTTGTGTAATGCAATCACGGAATATGTGAATACAAGATGGCTAGTCACTGCTGCAGGGACTTATTTGCGGTGTGCCCTCTTTTTTATCAACATGGTCTTACCATATTCATCAATCACAGATTTTCCTGTTAAATTACAAGCTATCTTTACGATTGCATAAGAGGTATATAAGATATATATAAGATTGCATCTTTATATAGCAATGACAGGTACCTACCAGTTACCAACGTGTCACTGGGAACGTCTTCAATTATACATTTCTCTTCTCTTTCTGCACTATGAAAATACAAAGCAATCGAAGATGAAATCCAAAAGTTCATAAGAAATCCTATTAATTGGCTTTTCATTATTTTTATGTATCCTAGTAGTACTGCTTTTTGAAAATAACTATTTACAAATGTATGTAGTCCTGTGGTTGTTCCTTGTTTGCTGCTTATCAGTGTGGTTTTGAGAGAGGAAAAAAACTGTGAGAAAAGGCAGCTGGTGGTTACACATTTATAAATAACTACAGTATGTTCTGTAGAATGAGATAACAAGGAAAAGATAACTTGTAAAATCTTTCTTCTTTCCCAGCATCTAGATTAAAATTTCATTTTATACATAGAGTAGTATGAAACTAGAAATTACTTCTCAGGTACTTGAGAATGGTGCTCTAGATCACTGTAAGCAACCACATTGGCTATCTCTTTCCATAACCTACCTGCTAAAATTTCCACTTACATTGAACTTAATATCTTATATTTCCTATTTATCCAGGGTGATTATGGGTGATAAAGCTTCACTCCTCTGTTGTGACAGTTAAAAGAAATCTTGTAATTTGCAACCTAAATCATTGGACATAGGCATATGCCTGTACAGAAACCATAGGGACTACATAAAAAGGCTGAAAGAAATATGAAGAAATTAAAGAGGGAGGGGGGAGAAACCGATCTGAAACACTAACCTAAATACCTAACATTTCAGGTAGGTAACTCATAATGAGTCATTTCATATTTGCAAAAGAAGCACTGCTTTGTGTTTATTGCAATTCGCTGCACCTGCTATCTATGAAGCTGCCTCAATAAAAAACATCTTTTTCTAGCACTGATCAAGGGTCAAAACCAGCTGGGCCACCCAGCTGGGAAGCAGATGCCTTGCAGAAAAGGACCTGGGTGTCCTAGAAGGCTAACGGTATCAGGGGCTGCATTAGGCAACTTGTTGCTTCAGGAGAGGTAGTCCTTCCCCTCTGTTCAGTACTGTTGAGTCCACACTTGGCATACTGTGTCCAGTTCTGGGCTCCCAGTACCAGAAAGGCATGGAGCCCCTGGAGAGTCCCTTCCCTCCAAGAAAGGGCCACAAAGATGATGAAGGGACTGGAGCACCTCTTCTACAAAGAGAGGCTGAGAGACCTGGGACTGCTCACCCTAGAGAAGGACTGGGGTGAATTTATCAAAGTCTATAAATACCTGAAGGAAAGGTGCAGAGGATGGAGTCAGGCTGTTTTCATGGTGCCCAGTCAAGAGGCACAATGGGCACAAAGTGAAACACAAGGGTTCCATCAGCACATCAGGAAACATTGCTTTACTGTGTGTGTAACAGAGCACAGGCACATGTTGTCCAGAGAGGCTGTGGAGTCTTCTTCCTTGAAGACCTGCAAAAGCCACCTGGATATGGCCCTGGGCAACCTGTTGGGGTGTTGGACCAGTGACCTACAGAGGTCCCTTCGGACCTAAACCAGTCAGTCATTCTGTGTGATTTTGTGGTTATCAGTTCAGTATATTTTATAGCATGAAGGATCTTCACAGAAGTTCTGGCACAAGTATTAGTTCACCTCTGGCAAAATACTATGTCCCTGGACTGATAAAGAGACTGTCAAAAAAGAGAAGCCTCATTTCCTTAAACATTAATGCTTTTTCTTTCACTCCATATGGTTAAGGTTGGAAGGATACAAATCACATCTCATGGCCATTGAAGCCTGAAGAGTCTCAAGGGTGATATTAGGACTCCATTACTACTTTAGCATTTATCCATCAGATCTAATTTTAGATTACTCAGAATCTCATTTCATAATTGGACTCTTAGTCTTCCAGCACAGGGAGATCTTGACTGACATTCACCTGTATAAATTCTCATGCCTTTCCATATCTGCAAGAAGTATATGTTTGGCTGCAAACCATGAACTACTTGAGGAACCACCCTTTCAGCTTTTTATTTATTTCTTCAGGTCTCCAAAAAAGCATGTTCCAATGACAGAAGACAAGCAAGATGTAGAAGGGGATGTCACTTTATTCTTCACTATGTCCAGGCACAGCTGGGACAGACACATTACTTCTATATTTCTGTCTAGCAAATACTAAGATAGTAGGGCTGCTGGATTTCAAACAAACAAAAATAAATCAGTCTCCAAGCGATCAGGATGCCATGCAACATACGGAGAGCATTTTGTCTCAGGCATTCAGAGTACCTGTAATTTATCACGGACCAAACTTCTACATATTACATTCCGTTAAGCAGGATTTAGCTGATTTCAGAATTGCTGCTTCAGGTGTTAGACTTATTTTCTGAGCATATTATATATTATCATGGAATAGTCTATATTACCTTTATTATATTGTATCAGGTCTGATATTTCCACAGTATTTCAATTACCTGGGACTGAGAGTATCCTGAACTGGTTTTGTCTTTGATTCCAGCAAGTACTCTCAGAACTTTTGCTCACACACCAGTTATATCCTGCTGGGTACAGTTCTAACTCTATGATCAGAAAGGCTGGCGTGCAGATTCCCTCCTGTTCTAGAAATTAGGTACACATTAGTTTCAGTTATCATGCTTACGTTAGGCAGTGTGGGTATTGAAACTTGGATATTGGAGCTAGGTATTCAATGAACCCAAGACTGTCTCTCTCCAGAATGATCTTTAATAGAGGACCCTGTGCCATTTTGACATTCATCTGCAACATTTCTCAGCAGGCTTTGTGGATGCAGTTTGTTCAGTTAGCTCACTCATCCCCTCTGATACATTCCCCCCTCCATCTCCTCAACAGTAGGAAGATATATGTACATGGCAAACTTCAACAGGGCTTCAAACTGCAGTTAATTAGTCTGTTTGACACATACACACACACACACACACACACACACACACACCAATCCCTCTGGACTATCTGGTAGTACTAAATATCTGCCCTCTCCTTTAGTCCACCTAACATTTATACCATGGTACCTAGGAGAACTTTTCAGTACCATGGATCACATCAATCTCTCTTGTACCCTCACTTATCTACAAAACTACCCTAATATTTCCCAGTCAGTCAGCTCCAAAGTGCTACTCTAGATGTATGCAGAGAAGCAACATCCCATAAAAAAGTATAAATGTAGACACAGCTTCAGCTGACATTCCTACTTACTGGTAGGAAGAGCTTTCATGTGTTCACAGCTAACTGTTCTTAAATTCCTTAAAGTCCTGGATAAGTTGTTCTCAGTAACGGGTTACCATATTCCACTAAGGGAATTGAATTTGGCATTCATGATTTTTGTAGGACCATGGTTTAAGTCAGTTGTTTTGCTGCTACGCTTACCTTTAGCTTACCTTTAGCTGTGTCTTTCTTTGCTGCAAAAATGACCATCCTGACATGAAAACTGATTATTCCTGCATAATATTCTCGTTGAAAATAAAATGTATTTCTAAATCCATTCTGACATTAGTTTAACCCAGAAATTAATTTATATATTTCTTTCCCTAAATTCCATGTATTTGGTACCGTAGTATCTTGGCTGCCAGCCATCTGTAACAATAGATGTGAGGGAAGAGTAAGGAAGAACTGATCTGTCAGATCTGTCTGTCAGACAGAACTTTCTTTGCTGTCCCAGAACTGTCAAGACAAATCCAAGACTGTGCTGAAAGTAGAAGTTATAAAGGCCTACCCATAGCCAAACATGGATCACATACCTCATTAATCAGTTTAATAAAGGTATATTATGAGAAATGTGCTCCATCATCAGAATGTGCTTCACTAGAACTCACTGTACCCACAGTTTTGCCAAGAAATGTCTGTCCCTGGTATTTGCAAAGTGAATATCTGAAACTATACTTTTGGCCTTCTCCAAATACTACAGTACCACAGGGGCATCCAGACAGGATTACATATTTACCAGTGACTTCTGAAGTCACTTCTTACATTAAAAAAGCTTATCCACATAACTAAACGGATAGGAAACTTTTGTTTGAAGGAACCTGCAATGAATATTCATATCTAAACATTAAATTAGAAAGTTATTTATCACTAACTGGACTTTACTGAAATGTGTTGACCTTTTACACATTCACTTCCCTTTCAACTCCATCTTCTCCTCGGGAAACATTTGGCTTCAGGAATATGAGGGACTCTGCTTTCAAATCATATCCTATAGGGCTAACATCCTACATTTGAGTCATATAGACGATTACAGGTGCAGTTATTTTTCTGTTGGGCTTAGTCATTCAGTTATTCTGAAAATGTGAACAAGCAAAACTTCATTGTTTAGGGAAGGTCTTGGAAGGTTCTTTCAAGGATACCTTGCACTTCAGCAAATCTTTGTGGAATTGTTTTCACTAATTCATAATTTAGAGTTGCATCTGAATTCTGCCCAAAACCCTTTTTGAGTTTAGTCCTATGAGCAGCTGATGAATCAATTTGAATTTAGTTTCAGTCCTCAGAGAGCATTTAAGTATATGCAGTAATAAGTTTAAAAGAAAAGAAAGCATTAAGTGAGGAAAAAATAATATAAAAAGGAGACAGAAAAAAAATGGAAAAGGTGTAGAAATTGACTAAACACAAAACATGGAAATAATATTGTAATAACACTATTTCTATTACAGAATGGACACGGGAACATCAAGAAAAGAAAGTATAATAAAAAGAATACTGAAATAATTTTGAAAAACATGCAACAGGGGGAATCTGAAGAATGTAAGATGTAGAAATTCCTATACTTAGCTCTAACAACTGTGCATTCATCAGTATCACAAGACCAACTTAGTTTAGCCTGATAAAGTTTCACGTTTCTTTGGGTCTTTGCAAGATTTATCTCCTGTAAAAATATAGAGAGAACTTTCCATGTGTTTCTACTCTACAGAGAATACAGTGTGTTCCTTTAAGTACGTAATAAAGATTGCAATATTTGATATATTCCAAAATGAACCTACACATATGCAACCCAACGTCTCCTGTTGAATATCTTTCCTTTGTGTTTGTAGAATTGCAGTGTGCTGTAAAAGTTTTCTGAGTTGATTATAAATATTGCCTACTGAACAGTCTTAATACAAAATTCTTTTCCAGTTAGTAGCCACAACTCTTTAAAAGCCACATGTTACATTCATTTTATAACAGTTATTTGAGCATTAAAACTTGCCATCTGGAGCAGTTTCTGACATACTGTGTTTTGTTAGATTTGTGTATACCTCAGTCTTAGATAATATTAAAACGTCATTAAGTTTTCTCTGTGCAAAGGCTAGGATGACCCAAATAACAGAAAATGCATTTAAAGGAACATGAAGACATTTACTGCACATATAAAGAGAATTATATAATTTATGTTATGGTCAACAGTGATAACTTTTTAACAGTTATTTTTCAGACAACTCTCTCATGGGCGACGCTCACCAACTATCAGTCAGGTCTTAAATCTCAGTTAACATTTTTAATTAAGTTCAGGACTTTTGTACTAGTATCCAAACTTCTGGGATTTTTTTAATAATTTTATTGTTAAGTGTCCTCATGATATGTATTCTTCTCATGTTTGAGAGGAGAAAAAAAAAGACATTTTCATGTATTCATAAGTCTCAAGACAAGTTTACTCAGTCATATTATTCATTTAGCCATACTGCAAACATCTGGTCACTCTGATTTATGTAAATAGTTTCTGAAGAAAGGCAAGTAAAACATGTTTAGAAAGACGACAAAAATGCCAATAAATTATAATAAACATAATTTAGAGAAAAAAAATTAATTTCTAGGTATAAATAGTTGTAAATCAACAAATTACATCATTTAAGAATGTTACCAGTTTAGATTTTGTGATAGAAAGATTTTTACATGTATGAAGCGTAATCTTTCCAAATGTCTTCTTTTCTGCCACTAGAGGGTACTCCAAGAACTTACAGTATATTTATAACAAAGATTTATTTGGGTTTTCTGGTCTGTAAATGGTCAAGAACTGTTGTCATACTAAACCTTAAAAATTTAACCCCCAAAGAAACTTGATATTAAACAACAACTTTCAAAACCAGTCTAATATCTTTTCCGCAAAATAGTGCAGCATACCTGAATTATAAGGAACATTGAATGACATGTATTTTAGATTTAGTTAAACTTATCCTACTTTTAAATTATCTAAATTGTTATCTTTTATTTATTTCAGACACAATTATCTGGTTCGCATCCTGTTTCTTCATCCAGATTTGGACAAGGAGTCCCATTATTGGCAGGGTGAAGAAGTACAAAACGAGTTCTGATCTTGGTCCCTGGTTTTCTGCAAGGACCTCTACAGAGACCCCAGGAAGACCATTGGGAAACCTCACAGTCCAGTGGTGTTTCTGCAATATACACAATAAAAAGGTAACTACATAAATTTGTGCTAAAGGCAAATATATAGTTGGCAAAGCATTAAGGAATGATGATCAAGTAGTGTCCTTTCTTATACAAAAATACATCTGATATTAATAAAATCCATATGTCATCTTATAAATGAAAAGTCTGCTTTCAGCTCCTAAACCCAGGGACATTGGTACTATTATTGTTGCAGTCTAAAGACTGTCTGAGGTACTACATCAGTAGTGCAGCAGATTATTTATTGTATTGAAAAGATTTTAAAGTAATTGCATTCAAAAGATTACATTCCTAAAAACATGTACTGTCAATTTTATAACTCATTTGCCATTGCATAGCTTACTAAAAACGCTAGGATTAAAGGTTTTATCTGGTTTATTTATGTATACATGTATTTCTTTGGCAATGTATATTGTTCCTGTAGTTGTTCATATCAAATTCCATTGAACTCTAATTCCAATTTGCTTCAGAAGTAACAAAAGTCACACTTTCTAATCAGTAAATCTTCTCAATATTTTTTGGTATGTAAGCTACAATTCCCTTTACCAATAAAGATATTCTGTAAATACAAGCCTTCTAATACTAAATGTGTTTTCAATACAGTTTTAATTTAATTTAATACTGGAACTAAATAAATCAGAAATTCTAAAGTACTTTTCATATTGCGTACTTTCATTGAAGCTATCTGTCTTAAAAATATAGGTGCTTATTCATTAACCGGTTAAATAAAAATATTGCTTGTCACAGGAAATTGCATTAAATCTGTGTATTACAGCAGTTGTGGATAAAATAGCTGTGCACAAGACCACCTTCACGATTTACTGTATCAAATGTGTGACTTCTGGTATAAATTTCTGGCATTACAATGGAACCCAGTACTTCTGAACCCAATACCCATGCTTCTAGCAGGAACAAGTGACACGGTTTGATCTCTGATGATTAAATTTGTCCTTTTGCTTCAGGAATATATTTTTGAATAGACTGGTTTACTGGTTAATATACTATAAATTAAATCCTACATCCTCATTTTATTTTTTTTTAAATACTGTACTTTAAATGAATTGTTTTAGATTTAAATGCTAAAAAGGGCCAAATGTTCCTTTCAAATGTTGTGGGAAAGACATGACTGAAAATGTGATTTGAAGCGCTCACTTTGAATATGTCTTGTTTACTAATAGTAATACATTTAAGCATAAGTTGATGGAGACACTTATTGAAGTATAATTCATGTGTGGAGAATTAGCTTTATTTTTGTGATTATAAGGTGACTTTAGGACAAAGCTAGAGGCATTCAATCTTTAAAATTATTCTGGAGAAGCTCTTCTTGGAACATAGCAGATATTCTAGAAATACATTGGGGATGTAGCACATTGCTGCCCTTTTAATGGTATTTGGGATGTCAGTCTTCTTATTCTTAACCATTCCTCTTACAATTTATTAAAAATCACTAGAAGGCTATAAAGAGAATACCTAAGGTAGACACTAACTGGTATCTTTCCCTTGGAACAGATATAGTATTTTTTTTGTTTTGGAGATTAGAAAATAACCCTTCAGACTGACTTGAGTCAGATATTTAAACGTCACCTCTACCTAAATGAGTTTTTGGGGTAAATTTTTAAGAAAAGAAAAAAGAAAGAACAGTGTTTTTGTTGTCAGGATGTCTGCTGCTATCACAAATATCTCCAAGCCAATTGAATTATTTCAATTCTTATTTCACATAGCTACTAAGCCCTCTGACCCAGAGACAACAGTACTAGTTCTTTTTTTCCATCATCATGCAAGAATTTAAGCGGGAGTACTTACTTCAAAGTTGCAAAGAATTTGTGAAACTTTGTCTCTGATCAAATATTGTTTATTGCTCATAAAATGCACTGACCTATAGTGATACTAAGGCTTGAGTAACCCTCACTGTGGATACAACCCAACCCTTTGAACTACAGCTCAAATATGAAATCCATTCCTTATTTTTTCAGGGATTCTCTTTTATGTCAACTGGCTTGTTTTATTTCCCATATGTAAGTCTGGAAACTATTGCAATGCAGATAGAATATTCTGCCTAATCACCTATTTCATCCACATCCCCTGCCAGATTTCCACATATTTTCTGAATGAATAGAAATAACAGAATTGAGCATATCAAAGTGCCAATCACTTACCTGAGATGGTGTCTAATATTTCATTACTTTTAGCTGGCTGATTAAGATGAGGTATAGGAAGACCCAGCTGGTTTTTCTTTAATTTCACCATTGTTACTTGAGCAATAGGCGGCAAAATTTTGAGTTTGGGATAATAAAATGAATTTGCTGGGTGACTTGGGGAGGAACAAGTGATCTGTGAAATAAACAGGAAACCTTAAAGAAACTACATCATACTAGTAAGAAATAACTGGAAAATCATGTTTACACATCATGTTGATTCTTTTTGGCAAGCAAATTGCATTAAAATGGTTTCTTTGAATCCCAGTTCTCCAGACTACTGCCGGTAGTCCCAGACTTTTTGCCCAAAATGCTTTGGGATTGGGCACAATGAATTGTGCCATCCTTGGATGGAGGACTAGAACGGGAGGTACTGAAAACAGAGATATGTTTGGAATGGTTTGATGGGAAGCAGTGGATATTATTACAAGACAAAATACAAGATTATTAAATAGTAGTATTAGGTATGCTGTAGCAGCTGTTATGTGGGTATAGGAGGCCAGATGGATTGTTTTCTAGTTTCTCTGTTCTTTTTCTCACTGCTCATTAGAACAGCATTTGGCTTTAGAAGAACTGACCTTAAGGAAAGGACTGACTGAATGTTTATAGTATTCAAAACCTTTGAGTCAAGATGCTCTGTTTCCCACCACCCATAAATGACAAAAGCAAAAAGCAAGAAAAAAAAAAAGACTGGAAGTGGGGTCACTGCAGTAGCAATGAAGAATGTCTCTGCTTTCCATTAGCTCCTTTCCCTCAAATGTAGCAGTTTCAGGTTTCAGCAATACTTTCTACTGAAAACTCCTCCCCAAATCACTTACAATTCTCAACTTAGAACTGTCCTGTTTAGACACTTTTAGTCATGCCAAGCCTTTTTGGAATCTTTTTATTTTCCTATCTTTAAGAATTATTAAAAACCATGTTAAAATGCTCATATTTTACATAAATAACTTTACATGTAAGCCAAATAACAAGGTGTAGAAAATGAACAAGATCAGTAGGGTTATCAGCTATTAATAAATCCATGTAGAGAGAGCATTAGCACTCTCAAATACAGAAATCAACTTCACAAGAGAATCCATTGACTAATTAAATGATAGTTATCCTTTAAAGGGAGGACTCAAAATAGTACAGTATACTAAACTATGTATATACACCTACCTCTGTAACTGTATCCTGTGGAATAGTGGCAAAATTTGGGGAGGAAAATGTGAAACCACTGTCTGTTCCAGCATCATATGGAAATAGATCTACTGATACTTCTTCCACCCAGTGGTCTCCTTCACAGAGATTTAGGCTGTCAATACCCACGAACCAGTCGGGGCTTGGCACAATTCGTACAACGAATGAAACCTAATGAAACAAAACAACCCATCAGGATTGCATCACTTATATTCCAGTCCCTGTTATTGTAATTGCAACTTAACATTTTTGAAGGAAATGGTCTTTTATACACCTCTGCTTTATAGAACCCATACAGTGCTCCCTGCAATTAGACATGCTCTTATAGTAACATTTTTGCATTATCTTATTCTTACCAATGAGAACTCAAACATTTCGTTTTATGTAACCATTAAAAAAACTTTAAATATTAGTATGTGCATATGTACTTACTAAGGGATGTCTTGAACGCACTTCTAATTCAGTGGAAGTTTGTCCTGTACCACTGGAAATGGCAGGAGCAGAGAAGATTCCATGTACACTCTGAATTTTCTCTCCAGCTTCTTCTATTTCTTTCATTAATACCCATGCTTCACCCTTTTCAGCAAAATCACGTACACCATTGCTGGCATATTCATTTTTTTTCCACATGCTGTAGTCAGAACTATGAGTAACACCTATTTGAGTGAATACATTGCATGACATAAAAGTCTGTTTTAGATTGCCCCTATTTCTTCAGTTTCTCTGTTTTATTTCTGAGGTTAAAAAAAGAAAAATTGTGTATAAAAATGAGTGAACACTAAAACATTTGACTTATCACTGTTTATTTCAGCTGTAACCAATTGAAAACAGAAGTCAATTGAAAACAGTTGTAGATTTTTGAAAGCACTGTGGATACTTCAATTTCTGCATTTCATTCTTAATAACTTTGGCTCTTTTCTTTCTTTTAACATTAGTTATATTAAAATTTACTATTGAGAGGAAAAAATAAATAAATAAAAATCACAGTGGTCAAGAGATTTATCTGATCTTAAAACTATACATACTTCACTTACCTAGCATTGATGACCACTGTGCTGGGGGCCTATAAAGTGGATACTGCTTAGGGAAAGCAGTCTGGCTCCATTTCCCTGTGAAGATTATGCTGTACTTTGCAAGTTCCTCTGCTGTGCAAATAGAATCATCACGCACAGGCAGGCTGCTGGCATAACCTAGAATTGTTACAAGCAATGTCCAGATAATTTTGCTGGAGCAGTAGACAAACATCAAGTTTTCCATTCCCTTCCACGTGAAAAGGAAAAAAAAAAAAAAAGTCAGACGTATTAGTCACTCTAAACTCAAAACTGAAAAGAGTTACCTAATAAAATGTAACAGAGCATAAGATATAACAAAAAGAAAACATATATCCCAAACACTAAAATTGTTATGCTTCTAAGAACATTATTATAATGCTTTTGGATTTGATATTTCCAGGCTATATACTACAAATCCGTAATTCTACCTGGGACAAGTGTTTCTAATGAAAATAAAAATATCTTAACCTCGTTCATAGTACTACCTCAGAAAAATCTGTTTCTGATTTTCTTCTGAAATCTTATTAGAGTCACATCTTGAATTAATTAGAGTAGCAACTGTTTCTGTGGAAAACATTAGTGGTATATTTATTCTTCTAAAGATTAAATTGCAGGTTACTTTGCCAAAAGAAATGATTTATTTTAAATTTGTGTCCTACAAAGACTGTTTTATGGCATAACATTTAAAATCAAATACATTTCAAATATATATAAATTACTTTGCTGTCATAACTTGTGCATTAAAAAATACATCGCAATTGCTTCAGATTGTTAAAGCTACAGAGTTATTAAAAACCAATATTTTTTAAAAGTTGCTGTCATAAGCTGTGCAAATTTTGTTTTAAAATTAATATGATAATTGCATCAGGCTGTTGAACTCAAGCAATTGTTTAAAATAACAGCCTTAAAAATTTACTTTTAAATGCTTTTTTCCTTTGAGAGAACTATGCAAACATAACTAAAACACTAATAATATATTATTTTGTAAAAAGAGCAGTGAATACTCACTAAATATTTCCTCTGGAGCACTGGTAGGGGGAGAGCACCTGCTTTTGCTGGCAGCTGAGTTGGTCTGCAAGAGAAGACAGTAGGAGTCTTGCTATTTATGCCTGAAGAGGGTCCCTTTGGTCCAACAATTATTGTAATCTTTAGACTTTCCAGGTTTGCAAAAAGCATGCCATCTTCTTACTTGCAATCTTTTTGGATGGACTATCAGAGGTTTCCTGTGTGTCAGCTGGTTCAGGTTCCTATCAGAAGCTTGTAATGCCGAATAGACGAAATGCTTTTAAAAAAATACCTTGGATTCTTACTAATAGTTCGGGTTTTCTGGTGACTTTACAGTTCTCTGTTCTTATTAATGCCTCTAAGCTATACAAATGAACTGATTCCAATGCTGGAATAGTTCTAGTGAATACACTTTAAATGAGAAGCATGTTTTCTTGTAAGTTTTATTGTCTGACAGATGCTCCTTCCAAACATTTACAGAGAGCTTGCTCACTCTCACACACCATATGTATGTGTTCAAATAAAAGGGGTGAGGCAGCTAAAAAAGTCAAGAGGAAAAAAAAGTTGCATTTCATAATTGCACATACTCACACAGACTGTCTCCTGCAAATATGAATTAATTTAAAGTAGTACAGTGTATATTTTTGTGTTCTACGGTACCGTATGCTGGATGATGAAAGGGCTCTGTAACATTGTGGTTTCTTTGGAAAGAGTGGTTTTGGGAAGCTCTGAAATTTTTCTTAGCTGTCTTCAGAGTAAAAACCCCCAAATAAAAATCTCATTATTAAAGTTAAATCATACATCTTCTGTAACACAGTACATATACTTAACTCACTAAAATTATTTAAATTGTCTATGAAGAATTATGCTTAATACAGTGACCCAATTAAGAAATAATATTTAATATTTATTTTAAATCATTTTCCCTACAACCTTTTTAAAACGCCTGTAGGAAAAATAAGGGCTTTGTGCCATGCTTATAAGGTTAACAAATGCTACTGTGGCTGATCAGCAGAGGAAGTTCAAAAGTTTACAATGAACCATGAAGAAAGTCTTGCACAGAGTCTTCTTTTGAAATTGAGAGGAATGTCACTGAAGTACTTCCACAGATATCTAATAAGATGGTACAGCATATGGAAAAAAAAATGTTATTTTTCAGATGAGAATCCCAGGCCATCATAGCTTACGTGACATAAGCTATTGTCCACCAGGAGGGTGTTACCAACAAAGTAGTTTGAGCCTTGTGGCACTTTAAACGGAAATTTCTCCTTCCCTTCTGCCTCCTACCCATGGTAAATCAGCAAGAAAAGCCAAGATACAAATAAGTTGTGATGTCTAAAATGACGTTCATTTCCCTATTGTCCTGGCAAAATGGAATCTATTGAAAGTTTCAATATACATGGATTGAGCACCCGTAATCAACAATTCATGTATGTCTGGATAGATTTTGGGAACACTGTAGCAGATTAACTATTTAGACATGGTTGTACCCTCTATTTCCAAGGTTTCTTCCTCTGTCCTGTATTCTTCCCAGTGAAAACATCCATGTTTCCCATAATTTACTTCTGTTCCAGGAGCCAGATTCCCCTAAGAAAATGGGCAAAGAGACTCTGTGGATATTTTTACACCATTTTTTTGAGTGTTTGTTGTAGGATGTTACGTGAATTACATCCACCTCACACCCTCCTATGCACAGAATTCCAGATCCACAGGTTCCTTAGAGAATAGTCTACATACATCAGAAGTGGGTGATGTCTCCAGCTCATGCAGCCTTCTAGAGGCTATAAAAAAATTCCCATAAGTATTAGAATATGTTGCAGATAGAACTGTTAATATAAAATTGTGTACTACTATCTTTAAACTTCAGTTGGTTCTGTGGTTATCTTTATCATCAAATTACTGATCCAGCTAAATTCACATATTGAAACATGCTGTGACACTTCCAGGAGAACACTTAAACTGAGTACATAGCAATTAATTCTGCATCCAACACAGAATTATTTAGGAGATCAGACTCTTCCTCTCAAATAGAAATTACTGCCAAAAGGCACATCACCAGACTAGACCATTCTAGTTCCGTGACTACATGTTATGAATGGCTCCAGGAATAGGACAATACATGCAGGCAGAATAATTTGGCTCAGATATTATAAGGAAAACTTACTAAATGATGAAAGACTTAATCTTCGGAAGTCATGAACTTGGAAAGTCATTTGAGGTTTCTAAGTATGGATTACACAAAGAAATATCAAAAACGAGAAAAGTTTAGTTGATTCTCTCTTAGAATAGTACCTCATGAGGCTTTGTACTGAGCATCTGAGATGTCTTCCAGATTTACAATTTTGGGTAATCAGTTAATCCTTCTTCTAGAGTACCATTACTCCCATTTTTTGAGGTTATCAGACTCTTCAACTTAAATATACAGTTAATGGAAAACAACTGAGCCTAGATATTTTACTTTTCTACCTTACTACTTTGCTAATTAGGGACTTTGAAGTTTGAAAAACTGGAGAAGGATTCTTTCCTCAAAGTATGCAGGTAGATGGAAACTGGATTATAGTCCTTAGGCTCGCTCTCAGATCCTGGTCCAGAACGGAAATTTGCTTTGTTAACATTCCTACAGCGGACCATTCCTTATTTACAATAAGTGCTCTGCACTTATAGAGTTCTATAGAGGAATAGAGTTCTCAGGAGGAATAAAATCTTCAGAACCTACAAACTTATTCTTGTCTTTTTTGGTTTACACAGTGAAATTGTTGTACAAAATACAGCAAATTTAGATGTTATTTAATTATCTTCCCTTCCCCCTCTCATCACCTGCCACTCTCATCGCTGAAGGAGGGGAAAAAAGAAAAAGACACCTAATAATGTCAGAAAATACTGACTCCCAATCTTATTTCTTTTAATGGAAACCCTGCTAAGCATAATCAGTCTCTGACATTGTGAAGGACAGAATATCAAATTTAGTATCTCATAGTTGGGGAAAAAAAAAAAAAAAAGAAAAAAAAAAAAGAAAAAAAGAAAACTTTCCCCCCAAAAACAAACAGATTTCCACTCAATGAATTACATTCATGGCTGGGAAGCCACAGATGCCAAATTTCTGTGGGCCAGTAGTTGGAGAAAAAAATTGCTGTGGCATCAGAATCTTTGCTTGCATTCCTTCTTTGGTGTGCATGTCCCATTAAAAACAGATGAAAACTCAAGAAAAACTGGGGGGAAAAACTTCCATTTAGAAACCATTTTGCATATATATAGAATTGGATTTTTTTTTTCTTTCACAGCAATATATACATATTTTTTAAAGTCTGTGTGTTTTTTTTACACCTATTTTCCATCCATGTGCATACCTCTATGGTCCCTGAATGCTTAAGGCAGACAAAGCTTATTTTACTTAAACATCAGTGCTGAACTGCTCCTTGTATTTAATTTTGTTTGTGTCTGTGTGCAACTCTTGCTGTTTCTTGTCAATAAGAAAACAGTCTTACAGTTTCTGCAGGCTTTACTAAGATTCAGAGGGTGAAAGATTGAAAGTATAAAACAAAAATGTTGTGTGTGTGCTTTTTAAATAATGGTCATAACTGTTTCTAGAGTGTCCTGTATTTTTGGTAATCTAAAATAACAAAACAAGGAAAAAAAAAGCTCTGCTTAAAGATAGAGCAGTACATTTAGTATCATGTTGATTCTTGCATCATTTACACTATATGAAAACATTTATATGAACATGTTTAGGCTATTACACAGGAATATAGTGCATTAAAAGGGTGTAAATTCCATTTTGATTAGCCACAGAATAATTTAGTGCTTTCGCTGGTACGCAATGAGATTGGCATGATTAGTTAAGACTTTTCAATTAACCTGTAAGGTTAAGAAAAAGAAGATTGGACTAAAATGACTAATCTGAAGTTAGCTCGCCCACCTTTATTCAGAACAGAAGCTCCAGAAATTTTGTTTCTCTATTCCTAAAATATTATCTTACATTAAAACCTTACTAAAAAAAAATCCATTTTGCTGGTAAGTAGTACAACTTTGATATGTGAAGGCTGTTTAATATGCTTCTGAATAGCTAGCATCTCTTTGTGTACCAAGAAAAACATAACATTGTATTACTTAAGAAGGATTAAACACCCATACTTTCTCTCCTGCAGTTACCATGGATACATATTATGGGCACTCAAAAATGCCAAAAGGTTTATGTTCAGTCAAAACCCTCTAAATTGTAAAATCTGAATATCAGAGTGGTAAGCAGCAGAATATTGTACCATGAAAATGTTATGGTGTCAATTTGGAAGACTTTATAAAATACAATGCAGAGCATTCCTAATACTGGATGTTGCAATGGTAGTTAAGGCAACTTTGAATTTCAACTTATCTTTTGGGATAGGGATTTAGTTTGCAGACTAAGGCATGTAAAATATGCGTATGCATATGATCTTGATATGTGAATTACCACTTTGTATAATGGAGGTATAATCATTATAGTCACTATAATCTAGAAAACTGTTCAGCTCACCCTTTAATTCATACCTGTATTTGACCAAATGAATAGCCAATGAGTAGCTCTCTTGTCTCCACTAACTGTATTATTAGGCTCTCTGTTGGCCAGACACCTAGCCCACATAAGTAACTGATTCAGGTATCTTTATCTGTTACTGAATCTAAAACCAGGTGCACTTCATTAAATGTTCCCACTGATGTCTATAATCAAGGTTCAACCCTCTGGTAGTTCAACCTGCTGCACCCTGTATTTTAAGTTTACAGATCCCCATTTCAAGGGTGTTGGGTTTTGTTTTTTTGTTGCTTCTTGGTTTGCTTTGTTTTTTAATTAAGGGCTCATTGAGAATTCAGACCAAGATAAGGAAAAATTCCAGCTTTATTGACCATGGTGACACTGCTCAGTAAGAAACAGCTCCAGCATTCATCTATCATCTATATTTAAGTCACTTTTAGTACTGAAAAGCCTAATTTGCCTTTTTTCCATCCTCCAAAATTCTACAGATCTGGGCAGAAAAACAGCTTCTTTGACCTGTTCATCAGGCTGGTATTCTGAGCTGTGGGATGAGGGCCAGCTTTCAGAGCCCTGTGCTAATCTGCAGAGTGCCTGCAGCAGCAGCATTAGCTGATTGGACTGTCCAGTATACATGACTTAGCAGAACTCTGAAACAAGCTGAATATTTAGAAGACGCTAACCTTGTAGATCTGACTCAGACACTTGTGGGAATCCCTGCTTTTAAATTTACTTTTGATATTTGCAAGAAAACCTCTAAGTCAAACAAAAAATTCCTTTGAAGAGAATCTAATATACAGCGTACTACAGCTTCATTGCAGTACCAGACAGGTTATTTTTGTGGTATTGTGCAAACACACACAATATAAAAGTGTCTTAATATATTACTTCATTCCATTATTCATTTTTTACATTGGGTGTACAGCCTGTACGATACGTGTTGACTTTCTAAAACCAGCTTGATGCTTCTTTTGCCCTGTAGAAATGCCATGTTTCTCTGGCAGCACTGTAGAAGACCACCAAATTAAATTTTGGAAGTAGTCACTATCAAGGCAACTCTTCA